AGAGGTGCGCCGGCCAGGAAGGAGGGGGACTGCACTGGCTTGTTCTTGGTGGCAGGCTGGGGAGAATGCTTCATCCCGGCCAGAGTTGGGGCAAAGCTCTCCTGCTTGCTGGCCCTCAACCCAAGCCCTGGGAACGTTGATGCCCCTTCCCTCCGAGGCCAGGAAGGGGCTTCGGCTTTCCAGGGGAGGGAGGTGGCATTCCCCACCCAACTTTCTCTCCTTGTCCAGAGCTGCGGAACCAGGTCATCGGTGGGAATATCCCGCCACCCCGACGGACACAAGGGAAGCAGGCAGGGGGGTGGGCAGAGAAGATGTGAATGTAATGATCCAACCTATTATCATATATGGTGGACCTGTAAGAAAATCAAGGCATTTTGGATAAAAATTTGGTGGGTGATGCAGAACATTTTGAAAAGAAGGTTGAAATTTACCCCTCAATTGTTTCTATTGGGCATAACTACGGACTGCACAGTATCAGAGACTAAATTGATTTTGAACTTAATATCAGCAGCTAGGCTGTTGGTAGCCCAGTATTGGAAGAAGGACTCTTTGCCTACTATTGAAGAGTGGATATTGAAAGTAACAAACCTAGCAGAAATGGCGAAAATCTCAGCGTATTTGAAGGACCACACGCAAGAAAGATACGTATCGGAATGGAGAAGATGGATTGATTATATTCAAAATAAGTATCAGACAAGAAAATATCAAATAGCTTATGAATGAATGTTAGTATTAGAAGTATTAGGTTATCTATAGTGGAGTTAAGGTTTCAGGGGGGGAGTTAGTACTTTGAGATAAGTAGATTAATCTAGTTTATGATTAATTAAATGTAATACCTTGTATTTTGCTCTGGGAAGTCTGGGGGGAAGGGTGGGATGAGGGGGGTAAGGATGGGGGGAACATGGGGGGGGAAGAAAATTTTTGTATTTTTTTTGTAAAACTTTTCAATAAAAAAAAAAGGGAAGCAGGCAGGGGGGTGGGCAGGGAAGCACGAGGACCTCCGAAAGGCCAGGCGGAGCTGGCGCATGCACACCAAGCAGTTGGTCTTCGTGCATGCATGCACACCAGAAACTGGAAGACCAGGTGGACGGCGCTCGCACCTGCTCTTCCGGTTTCTAGAACGCATGCGCTCCCATTTCGGCACTCGGTGCCGAAAAGGTTCACCAACACTGCCTTATAAACTATCACACAGAAAGGAACTATGGAGAATTTTTAAACTGCCAATCAAAAGTCACATTTTACATTGGAGAAAATGATGTTCAACAGAAGCACACATGTTCTTATGTTGCCTTTTTAGGTTTTTTTTTTTTTTGCAAATTTGATATTGAATAGAAGGGAGCAGGATCACTGCAGCATTTCAGCAATTCCTGAAATTGTAGCTTGAGATTTATCAGTAATAATATAAATATGTTACAAATGAATCAATGATGTCCCCCAAAATAATCCCCATAGATTTGGCTGAGATGGGTCCACAAACCTGCCATGAAAACAATGAGAATGAACAATTGTAGCCTTGAGCTCATTTTTTTTCTTTTCCCCTTCCTTTGTGAATAAGATCGAAATCTTTTAATAGTTTGATCCTGTGTATGAATATCCTAAGAATGTAATTTTAAAATCCTAATGTATGAGAGAGAGAGGGAGATAATGTCATATATCATTGTGGTCAGGGGTGGGTTCTACTTACCTTTACTACCGGTTCACAACGGGATCTCGTGCATGCACAGATTGCGTCTCATGACGTCAGGGTCAGTGGGCGGAGCCTCCTGCTGGTTTTACTACCGGTTCTATAGAACCGATCCGAACCAGGGGCAACCCACCACTGATTGTGGTTGGCCACAATCAGCCAGGTATTTAGGCATTGATCCACCTATCAAGTTATTTTCTAATAATGTGATCAGAGCTAGGTGGCATAATATTAAAATAGCAACAGCACTTAGATTTATACACCACTTCACAGTGCTTTACAGCCTTCTCTATGCGGTTTACAGAGTCAGCATATTGCCCGCAACAATCTAATAATAATACTCCTGATCAATCACAGTTGGGGCAATCATGGGAATTTAGAGACTATAACTCCATTCAGGTATTTGCACATCCTATATTTTGATGCATTACAGATTGCAGCTATGATATGCATAAAATAAGTTATACTCCAATTTATTTTATTAGATAAAAACTCTTAAGGACTCAAAGGGATTTCTAAAGAAAGATGCTATTTATTAAGGTTACATAATATTGAACCTTGGATGAGAACAAATTAATTAATGTAAGCCCAAGAAGACAAAGGGTTATTATCTTTTTTAATTACAGAAGAAATAATATATCCATAGAGAAAGCCTTGGTTAAATGACAATGTATGGTGCTATCTCCCACATGCAACAGCATCACTGGTAGGTTTGTTTAGAGCCCTTTGAGTGACAATCACCTCCTTGTCAGCTCTATATAAAAGGTGCCCCAAGTTCTTTCTCCTTTCATTGCTGCAGAAACTACAGCATAAATGTGGGAATTATTTGTAGGAAAGGCAGATGGAATCCAAGTTATAAAAGCATCTTATTATTTGTGTTCACATTTTTCTTTTTATTCAATACTTGAGGTTTTTTTAAGTGCAGCTTAAATCATATAATAAAAATGAATCCAAACAACATAAGCCACTATAAGCAGAACAGTACAATCACAAATTCTCTTGTTCAAGCCATAATTAGCTACTGATATTATTACATGCACAACAAAGTAAAACCATTATTAATATTATTATTTGCTGCATGCGTCTTATGGAGAGAAGATAGATTACCTGGGAAACAGTCCATCAAGGTGGACATTGCTGTTGCTGAACAGAATAACAGAGTTGGAAGGGACCTTGGAGGTCTTCTAGTCCAACCCCCTGCTCAAGCAGAAGACCCTATATACCTGGTGTCAGAAACCCGTGGCTCCGGAGCCACATGCAGCTCTTTGGACCCTCTGCTGCAGCTCTCTATCCCATCACTGGCTGGCCCCGCCCCTCACTCTCCCCTCCCAGTCACTCCTCGCCTGGCCTTGGAAATCCGAGAGATACAGAGAGAGGGAGGGAGAGTGGGGAGAGAGACAGATACACAGAGAGAGGGGGGAAGATAGGGAGAGGGGAAGAGAGATACAGAGAGAGAGATAGAGAAATACAGAGAGAGGGGGGAGATAGAGAGGGAGTGGGGAAGAGAGTGATACAGAGAGAAAAAGAAAAAGAGAGAAAAGGGATTTGTGGTTCCCGGTGTTTTTTAACAACTGGCTCTCTACCCTAATGACCAGCTGGGTAGGTGTGGCTAGGGGGTCATGTGACTGGGAGTGAGTGATGTGGAGTTGGCCACACCCACCCAGGCTTTGTGGCTCCCGGTGTTTTTGTTTTTTTTTCTGTGGGAAACGGGTCCAAATGGCTCTTTGAGTGTTTAAGGTTGCAGACCTCTGCTATATGCCATTCCAGGAGGAGCTGGTCTGTGAGGCAATCCTGCTCCAGATCAGGGGTTCAGTCTCCTGTTTGTTTGTTCCTCCTCATTCAATACTACCGTATATCACTAGCTACAAGCCATTTTATTTATTAGCAAAAATAACTTTCATTCAATTTAACAACATCCTCACTGTGATTATATACTTTATTTTTGCATGATATATAAGTGGGGAAACATGCTGTGACAGCATGTATATGCCCACATATAATAGCTTGAGATAAGGAGCAAATATATATTGACTGCATAGAAATTGATGGATATTTAACAATAGCAGGAACTAACCTTATCCAGGAAGAAGCAAACAGTCAGCTGCAGGCATTGGCTGTGGATACAAGATGAATGGAACCATAAAGAATAATAGTTGAACGAGGTTAGAAAGAACATTTTGCATAAATTTTAAGATGACAGGTCATTCATCCTGACCGTACTTCCTGTTTGAAGCATGGAAATAGCAATTGTCTCATTATATATTACTAGCTGGATGCTCGTGCTTTGCTACGAAACTATGTGCTCGGGCTTGATAAATTGACACTTACAGCCTGAAACTTAATGTAAAATGTGTAACTCCGTAGCATCAGAGTGTATTAATATAATGCAACTGGCAGTTGGAACAGAGGGGGAAGGGGAGTAGAATGTCTCATCCTGCAGCATCCATCGGTATTCATCTGGTTAGCATCCTGTCAGTGTGTGAGAAAGTTGAGGAGTGTTTGGAAACTCAAACAGTATTTGCTGTGTGAGCAAGAAGGAGAAAGGAAGGAGGCTGGTGTGGCTTAGCTCAACTGTTCTGTAGTAAAGATGCTTACTGCTGTGAAAGTAAAACTGAAAGTGAAACTCCTCTCCTCTGCTTGTGTTTTGCATTTGGAACAAATTTCTTTTCAGGTGGGGAGGGGGAGTAGAACTCCAGAGCGTGTTAATAATAATATAGGAAGTATTAATGCTCTGATGGTCATTTCGAAAAATCCTTTCTTAGTAAGCACCTAGAAGCCAAGAGGAACATATGTGGCAAATTTCAAGTTTGTAGGCTTTACAGTTCTGGAAATTTTGTGATTATGGCGTGAGTGGTTTTCACTTTTATATATATAGATTATGAGGATATTATCCAGGATCTTTCTGGGGATACTTTCAAGCAAAGAAGTCCTTGTCATGAAATTTCAGTTGCTCTCCAGGCATAGGTTTGAGCAAGAAATTCCCTCCTTACCTCTTTTTCTTTTTATCCCTTCCTAGCTGGCAGGTTTTAAACCACACTGCCCATGACACTGCTTAGAAATGTGAGCTCGCCTACTAAATCTTTGTGACAAACAGACATTAAAACCTATACAGCATAATCCTTGGGAGAAGGTTTATTAAGGGGTCTTATCCAAAAACCAAACATTCTTTTTCTGCAGTAAAACAAAGTTAGTAAGTAAAACAGTAAGATACCTGGGATTTAATGCTTACTGCTATTTGTGTTTCTGGATGGATTTCTGTCATTTTGATGATTTGAGATGCAAAGTAATAGTTTCTCTCCTCCTTTTTGCATTGTAGGTCCCATTCATGGGTCCAAGTAAAAGAGTGGATTTGAAAATCATTATCATTGGAGCTTTGGGGTAAGCATATTTTTAAAATCTTTTTTAAGATGCATTTCTCTCTCTCATCCCGAACCCTCATTTTAGTCTCATAATAAGTTTGTGAAAAAGATTAGGAGACAGAAAATGAGAAAATGGAGACTGGCTGAAAGTCACAGAACTAACTGGTCCCTTCTGACTTTGATTTTCTAGTGACTGTTCCAGAAGTGTTTGTTTGTTTGTTTGTTTGTTTATGTAATTTTGATGGCTTCTCATTTCACAGCAGTGATTGTGGGTGACACACAAAACTAGCAGGTACAATAATCCATGATACCCAAGTGGAATAATACACTACAGTTATAAAACCATGCCAACAGTATAATTCACCGGACCTCCTGGCCCAAATATTGGGCAAGACAGCCAGTCTTCAAAGCCTTACAAGAGATAACAGAGTCTGGATCCTCTGGATCTCCAGAAGGATGTTATTCCACACAGAAAGAATGACTCCAATAAGGTGACTTTGTTGAATAGAGGGGACCTGAAGCATGCCCTCTCAGAGAGTACTTAGTGGAGCAATGTAAGGAGTAAGGAAGATGACTTGAACAGAGATATGCAAAATCCATTGCTAAGGCAACAAAGGATTAAATATATATTCAAGTCCATACCAAGCAGATAGTATTCTTTTATGATAATGTGCTTCTGCAGCTCAGATACTGCCTTATTTCTACTGCAAATAGGAGAAGGAGCTATTACATAATCAGAGTGTATCTATCCACTAGGTAGACCAGGCCAAATCCACAGGAAGGTTAAAACTATTGTAATAGAACCTTGCAAGTTTAGAACAAGTTGAGATAATGGTGTAATTTTTTCTGACATTGGAAAGAGGAAAGAAATATTTCATTAGAAATGAAAGTAGATTCACATATTGAATTGTGTAAAGTTAGAGTGGGAGAAGAGGAACTTTTATGGTTTTAAATTTCAGACATTTGTGAGCAGAATGGAAAAACCATGGAATTCCAGCTTGAATATGCTACATAATGTTCACTAGCAAATCTTTATTCATTACTTCTGTCTTATAGTCCTGGCTATTTTTTTTTTCACCTAGAAGATTTTTTTTTTCTCTAAAGAAAGTAGAAGGGGTAAATAAAAGAAGAATAGGCAGGTGGAGTTTAAGGACTCCATTAGACTTAGTGGTGGTTAATCCTCATTCATAAATTCTCTCTTCCTTGTTATTGATGAATCATAAATATATATTTGGGGGAAATGTGTATTTTTTTTAAAAAAATATTTTTCACATTTCTGAACTGCCCATCTCCCTCAGAGAGAGACTGGGTGGTGTACAATGAAATGTTAAAATACAATTAATTTTAAATTAAATGATGCATATACTCTTAAAAAATGGAATTTCATGTCCATGAATATTTAAAATACTATTTCAGTTTTTGGAATTCCCTTTCTAAGATAATGCATAAAAACTGTGCAATATTTTTTTAAAGGATTGATAATAGATATGTGAAACACAACTGACAGTACATAAAGTGTTCAATTTCTTTTTTACAATAAACCCTAATATTTTTTTTAAAAAACCACCATAAATAAAGTCAAGGAAAATTATGGATGTGACAGATGACTTTTGGGATTCAATAAAGGTGCTCTTTAAGAAACCCTCACTATCTGGATATATTAGTTTAGAAAAAAGTCCTTTGACATATAACCATTGTAGTTAACCTATTTTTAAAAAGATCAAAGTACATAGATGAATGTGCCATTGATTTATGATCAGTTACTCCAAAAGAAAATGGAATTTCTACTTGCTGACATTAAAAGAAATATTACACCACAGCTATCCACTTTGTGCTACTAGTACAACCAGATTCAGTTAGCAATTTGTTAGTGATACGCTAGAGATCAGATAAATAACAAAGCAGGAAAACCGAATATTTGTTTTTTTTTTAAAGTTTTCTGTAGTTACTGCTGTACAGTAGTTGCTATTTTCTTCCAAATAAACAATCCACAGGATTATTTTGTCAATTAAATTTTATATCAATATTTGCAAATATATGCTATACAAGATTCACTTATAATAAAAGTTATTATCAAAAACTATATATGGTATATATGTAGCCAAAAATTAAAAATATTTGTTAGTAAGTAATATTTGTTTGCGTATTGATTAGAGATTTACTTGTTGGCTTGCAGATGAAGCAATTAGTAATTTTTTTTTTTAATTTGATTTATATGCCGCCCTTCTCCGGAGACTCAGTGCGGCTTACAGTGCATTAAGCAATAGCCTTCATACTTTTGTATATTTATACAAAGTCAGCTTATTGCCCCCACAAACTGGGTCCTCAATTTACGTACCTTAGAAAGGATGGAAGGCTGAGTCAACCTTGAGCCTGGCGAGATTCGATCTTACTTTAATTGCAGACAGCTGGTGTTAAATTACAGAGCTCTGTCTGTAGAGCTATCCAGGCTCCTCTATTAAATGGATGTTACATAAGAAAATTCATACAGCACAACAATCAGAAATCAGGGGACAAACCAAAGAATAGAAATGGTGTTCTGGAACATTAAAAAGTGCCTACTTACAAAAATTACAATGAGGAGAGCCTGCTAAGTTTAAGAACAGATCGCAGTCCAAATATATAATTAAAATGGCAATTCTAGGTGTTATTGTTGGCCAGTACTAGTCAGATATGTTATAGTGAACACTTTAACTTACCAACAGCAGGTGAAGAATCTAATACTTGCTATTCAGATCCTAAATCCTGGCTCATCAAACAAACCAACATGAATTATAGCACCATTAGTACATAGAGTGAAATATCCAGACCTGTCTATTTTAAACACCAAGAAAGACATATCTTCTATAAATTATATAAAAACCTAGTGAGGAGATGATCTTACATTTGCTGCTTGCAGAAAAGATATAAAAGCAATGGATACAGTCTGAGATGAGGCCATGCTGATCAACTAAATTGTATAAAGACTATAACTAAATAGTTCTAATATTTCTACGGACTTACTTTAGTATAGGCAATAACTGATTAGAATTAGTCTTTGATTAGGAACATTAATGGACAATCTTTAAAAAGTTTGAATCCAAAATTTTTGGAAAAAGTTTGAAATGAAATGAAATTTGCATATGTGTTTCTTCTTTCATCCCAGTGTAGGAAAAACCTCTCTTCTCCATCAATATATTCACAAGAGATTTTATGAAGACTATCGCACCACCCTGGGAGCTAGTATTTTGTCCAAAGTTATGGAAGTAGACCACACACCACTGAAATTGCAGGTGACAGAAGTTTTTAATGTCTCAGATTTCTTAATTCCATGTTAGCCAAATATTTATAGCTCAATCAAATGTACTGCGAAGAAAGGACAGATATTGTGAAATATTTTCATAAGTTTATATTGCTGTTGACAGCAAATTTCCAAGAGATACCGGAGCTTATGACATTGTAGGAAGAAAATCATGTTAGTCTAAGGTGGCAAAAAAAAAAAATCAGGAGGAATCTGGTAGCTGGCATCTAATGAAGTGAGCTGCAACTTTCAAAATTATGTTCTTTTTAATAAAATTTCTTAGAAAAGGAACTATCAGACTCCTTCAGAGTTTAAGAATATCACTTTGTAATTGCATCTCTCACTAAAATGCTGACTTTGTTAATGTTAAAATGTTAATGTTAAAGCATTGGATGGTCCAATGGCATTTTGGTTTTCCTTTGAGAAGAGGAATCACTTTCCTATATGTCAGTGATCTATTGGGAGAGGAGGTGGGAGTTCAACAGCATAGCACAGTCTTTTGCTATCTGATTGTCTCAGCAAGCACCATTTCCTTGCTATTTCTTAATTGATAACACCACATCGAAGTCAATACTCATATTCCGTATAAATAATTAAACCTTAATTATTGTCACCTGTGGAACTGAACCTGCTGCTCATTCATTCACACTGTTTGACTGTCTTTTTTGCTTAATATTAGGAAGGAATGAGACATTATAAAGTAAAGCATCCACTTCTGGTACCCTTTGACTTTATATGAGTGCCTTTGAGGCCCACATAGCAATAGCACTTAGACTTATATACCGCTTTACAGTACCCCCAACATTTTACCCACCTTGGAAGGCTGGAAGGCTGAGTCAACCTTGACCCTGGTGAGATTTGAACTGCCAAATTTCAGGCAGCCGGCAGTTAGCAGAAGTAGCCTACAGTAGTGCACTCTAACCACTGTGCCACCTTGGCTCATCACTAGAATGGTAAACTAGCCCAAGGGCTAGTTTGCATTCTGATATGTAGGGATTTTGAAAATATCGCTCCCCATTATAAGATCCATTTTGTGAACAGGTAAATGTATTCTGGTAGTCATGTAGTGAGTGCGCTTATCACATACCTCAGACCTCCAAATGTGGACCCCACATCCAAAAGTTTCCTGTGTTTGCTGCAATGGTTACTGTACTGATGTTAATGCAGAAAGACTTCTTGTCAATTGTAGATAGAGGGATAAAATATAAATACAATTGAATTGTAGAATAGTAATGCTTTTCACACTGCAAATGCTAATGCTTGTATGTTCCTCCTCTTTTAGATTTGGGATACTGGAGGCCAGGAACGATTCCGGTCTATTGTGTCCACATTCTACAAAGGTTCAGATGGTTGCATGCTGGCTTTTGATGTCACAGATATGGATTCTTTCGAGGCCTTGGATATTTGGAGGAAAGATTTTCTTCAGAAAGTCAACTCTACAGAGCAAGGCTTCCCAATAGTTGTGCTGGGGAACAAAATTGATCTGAAAGATCGACAAGTAAGAGCTGGAAGTAGAAATAGGGATGGAAATTGAATATAGAGCTCTCCAATCAGGATCTGAGAACAAATTTTGAGTTTGTTCTCAGACAATAAACATAAAGAAAAACTAACATTTTTGTAACACAAAGAATTCTTTGCATCTTTACCATGCTTCATATTATAGAACTTTCCCATCTCCAGCTATTGAACATTGGAACTAAACTGTGTTTGCGCACAAGCCCTGCATTTCTGTGCAGGCCTTTTATTAGATATCGACTCAAAATGGATAGGATTTAGTTGAGTGCTGAGTCTGGTCCCTGAATAATGCAAGAAATCTTGCAGCTGAGCTTCTACAGCAGATGGTTGTCCAACCCTTGGTTAAGTCCTTTGGTGAAAAGTGTCTTCTGCATAAGTCTGAACTTATTAAAGTATAACTGTTTTTAAGAAATTATTCCTTATGTTTAAATGAAAAATGCCCTTCTACTAGATTGAGATCTGCATTAAAACAAATCTGTGTACCATGTATTCCCTGTCCATTGGCTTATCTTCTCCAAGCAAAGCAAGGATCTGTATCCATCTCTGAGGCTTCAGAAATATATTCGTTTAACCATTATATAAAGCTATCCTAGTGCAGCTCAAGATAACTGTATTATTGTTTATGTATTATATTATAATTCATTGCATACATCATTTACTATTCCTTTAGCTCAATGGCCCCTAACCTTTTGGGCACCAGGGACCGGTTCTGTGGAGAGAGGTTTTGCCATGGATCAGAGGGGCCGTGGTTTCGTGTGCTGCCTGCATCCAGTGGATGGAATTTCACTTCTTTGCATGGCCTGGTTGCTTGCATGCCACGGCCCGGTGCCAGTCCATGGACCAGGGGTTGGGGACCCCTGATTTAGCTGGTGTTGGCCTTCAAATGCATTGAGTTCAAAGAACCTAGGATGTCGTAATGTATCGGCAGAGTGCAGGTTGTCCTCAACTTATGACCACAATTAAGCCCAAAATTTCCATTGCTAAACAAGACAGTTGTTAAGTGAATTTCGCCCTATTTTACAAATTTTCTTGCCACAGTTGTTAAGTGAATCATTGCATTTGTTAAGTTAGTAATCGGGATGTTAAGTAAATCTGGCTTCCCCATTGATGTTGCTTGTCAGAAGATTACTAAAGGTGATCACATGGCTCCAGGACACCGGAACAGCCATATGTATAAGCCAGTTGCCAAGTGTTTGAATTTTGATCATATGACCATGGGGATGCTGCAATGGTCCTAAGTGTGAAAGAAAGTCATAAGTCACTTTTTTTCAGTGCAGTTGTAACTTCAAACGGTCACTAAATGCAAGATTGTAAATCGAGGACTAACTGTATACATGTGGATCCAAGCAGTGTGGCCTTTTGCAATTGACAGATGGTAATTCTGTCAATGTGCAGATTTTCTAAGTGCCATCCAAGATTCATTATATGATATATATTATTTGTTATGTTACATTATTTGAGGATGACAAATATAAGCAGCATTTTCATTGCATTCATTCTTGAAAGAAACAACTTTCCATGTAATATTATACCAGCTAATCACATTTCTTTTATTTTTAGGTGTCCAAAGAGGTGGCTTCATCCTGGTGCAAGGAGAAAGATATAGCATATTTTGAAGTTAGTGCCAAAAATGATATTAATGTGATGCAGGCGTTTGAGACCCTGGCAAGGCAAGCGCTATCAAGAGTAAGTGGCAAATTGCTTATAAGAAATAGAAAATCTGTTCTCTTTTGTATAGCAAAGACATGCCTGCAATTCAGAATAACAGTTCATCCATTGTAGACTATAATCTTCAAAAGTATATGCCGTATAAATATTTAATGATCTAATTTGCTTTCTTCCAACAAACTTCTGAAGATCACAAAAGGGAGAGGTTGAGAAAGGGAAGACTGATATAACTGTAAGCCCTCATGTCTTGGCAAATGCTATCCAAGATTAGTGAGACTGTCATTTTTAAATCATTAGCTAAAGGGAGATGTAATAGCTAAAATTAATTTTAAGCTGGCCTAAAGGTTGTACATTGCTTTCCTTACCTCAGCAGTCCCCAATCTTTCCGACTCTGCGGAACAGCAGCAGAGGGATGGTTTCGCTCACGAACCCCAGTGGTGGGATTCAACCGATGTAACAACTGGTTTGCTGAGCGCGCACTGAGCGCGCAGATGCAGTCCATTAAAAAACACCATTAAAAGCAGTGTTAAAAGCACTAAAAACAGTGGAGGTGTGGCAATCCACTCTGCTGTGTCTATCAGCTGGGCTTCAAACAAACAAAATAAAGGTAGGTATAGTGCAGGGGCAGGTGGGCGGGCCCAGCTGACTGTCAGAGCAAACTGGTTCACTCTCAGCTGATCGTCGAAGCAACCGGCTTGCCCGAACAGGACCAAATAGGCTGAATCCCACCCCTGGTGCACACACACTGCACAAATCCAGCTTCATGCGTTTCCATGCTTTCCTGCCGCTTGTGCAGCCCAGTTCCTAACACGCTGAGGCCCGGCAAGGCCATGGACCAGGGATTGAGGACCCTTTCCTTATCTCATACATTTTGACCTAGCTGGCCCTATCAAAAGTTCTATCCAACATGAAACTTTAGAACATTTTAATGAAGTTGTTGACTGGTTGTGGATTTTAGCTTCCTTTTCCCCCCCTCATGTCCAAGTAAAAGCCATCTGTTTTGCCTAATGAAACATGATGAAGAAACTCTGTTTCACCACAAGGTGTTGCTGTTTGCTCACATTGTCATATGCAGAAATATAAAGGTTTTCCTTCCACAGTCTGGTTCTTGGCTTTTTTCTTTGATGAATCCACATGATTAGTGGATTTCATAAAAGCAGAAATCTATAACCAAAAGTTGCAGTAGGTAGGAAGGCTTTGATGCTCTCTGAACCATTTCCAAAAAATGTGATAGCTTTGATTTTCCTGCAACTAATTATTTTATATTACGTTAAACAATACATGTCTTTTTGCCTTATGCTTACATTGACCAGGAATGTTCTTGGACGCTTCTAAAATACAGGTGATGGCACTGAAAAATTTATCCATTTTTAAATATGTAATTTTTTGGTGCATTGAATGTTTTTTCTTCCTCTAAGCGGTACAAAGTTCCTGGCTTTCAATCTTGCTTAAGAAGTTTAAGAAAGCTTTGAATTGAGAAAGAAATCTGCATGTCTGTGGTTCTATATTTCAGAAAAATGAATGGAAAATCCAAGTGACATAATGAACAGGGGATAAAGCTTTTTTCCAATTGGAAAGCTCTTAACAACATCAATTAAAACACATTGGACAGCCAGCTTTCCCTTAAAATAACCTCGCTCACTGTAGTAAGAAAAAGAAAATAAAGCAGCAGTGGAGCCAAAGTGGAAGCCGTAAATTTTTTAAAAAATTAATGTTTCATAAATTCCATGAATGTACCATATATCTATTTCTTAGGGGAGTTCTCTGTCTATACAGTTTTCAAATGATTGGCCAGGTGAATAAATGGTCTTATCTTGCAAAGTGATTTTTTAGATTTAAATTTTAGATTTATGTTTTTAATTATTTATATTTTTCTCTTAGTATCAAGGGGTGATTGAGAATTACCTAACCGAATCTATAAAGCTCAGTCCGGAAGATCAGCCCACAACCAAATGTTGCTGACATCCCGTTCGGAATGATTGACATTTGGATACAGTCTGAAAGTTGGCACATGGAACAGCTGCTGCTACTGGGAAATGCTGCCCATCAGGGTAAAAGATGAACTGATATAACAATATTGCCCTCTGGCATCCCAGCAAAGATGGAACAGACTGCTGGTGGTTACTGAACACACAGACATTTACGAATCAGCATCAAGTATTGGGAAAATAATTACCAAGCTGAAAGATTTACGACCTTACTGAATCAGTCAGACCCTTCTCAGATGCCACTTTGAAGTTCAGATCTATGTTCCAGAACACTCCGTGGAATGATCTGATCTCATATTGAAATTGACTGCTAGATTTTGTTATGTTCTTTTGGTGAAACTGTAGTAGATAATTTCTGGCCCAGCTTAATGTTTTCTAGATACAGCTTAATTCCCAAATAGCACATCTGAAGGTGCTAGAGTGGGTTGGGGAAAGCTGATCTACATAGTTCAGGCTCAGCTACTTAAATATACATATATAGTACCTTAGGTATAGGTCTATGTCTCATTCCCACAACAAGTGTCATATGAGGTGCGTTGAGTTGAGGAAGAGTAACTTGCTCAAAATCATTCAGTGTACTTCCATGGTAAAGAGTTGACTAGCATCTGAGTCTTGCATAGTCCAACATTCAACTCCTAGATCACCTTAGTGCACAGCTCGGTTTCCCCTCTTGGTTCCTGCCCTTAAAAATGCAATGTTAACCTTGATTTTACAGCAGAAATGCAAAACTTTTAATATTTGTTTATTAATATTATACAGAATTGGAAACTAATATCACATAGATATATGATTCTTTTTGCATAGAAACAGAGGCTCTTGAGCAAAAAAAAAAAAAAAACCTGTAAAACTATAGACGTAGACTCTATTTTCAGGGTCCTTGTTTTTGTAGAAGGTTAATGCTTACTTAAGCAGTTCTACAGAGAATTTTTAAAAAAATACTAAAGAGAAATGAAATATTGGAAAAGGGAATATAATAGAATCAATTTATACATGGAAATATATAGCAGAGATTTGAAAAAGGGATTTCTTTTTTTAAAAAAAAACATTGGATATGTAGTTAATTCTTACCATTGTTCAAAGATCCTGCTGTTTTTTACTGAAAAGAGTTTCAGATGTGAATTGTATTTGTATGGAACAGATTGAAGCCATTTTCCGAAAAGATGTTCTCGTATTGAATCAGTATGGAAATTTGAAGGATAATCAGGCCAATTATTGTCCTGCCAGCCTGCTGTCTGCTTCTTTGTTAGATATACGTTACTTACCAGAAGGAAGAACTCGGGTACTGGGGAAAAATACTTTCTTCCTATAAGAGTTAATGATGCATATGTATGAATCAAGGAACAGGGAAAACTAGCACACAAGAGATATAGATCAGGTCAAGACTAGCTGGTGCAAATATCTGTTCTTTGCTCACATAATGATTGAATGTATCACCTTCTTTTAAACTAAAAGAAGAGGCTAGACTAATACTAAAAATATACAACTCAGCCAGTGCAGACATCAACCATCATAAAATTATTGTTAAGTTATAACGATTTTTATTGATTTCCATCTTGTGAAAGGACCACATGGAGCCTGAACTGATACCTCATTGCAAATCAGAATGAATTGGGTGGGGAAATATGATCTCATGAATCTGTTCTGTAAATATTTTGTTGACTGTACTACTTGAACACCTTGGAATTCAGGTTTGGCTGGTGAGGACACAGCCAAATTCATTTTTGGACATTGTGCTGCCAACTCAATTAAAATTGAATTTAATAAAAAGAGATGTGAAATTACTTACCTGGAAGAAAGTACCGTATTTTCCGGCGTATAAGACGACTTTTTAACACATGAAAATCTTCTCAAAAGTCGAGGGTCGTCTTATACGCCGGTGTAGTTCTCCTGTAACCAGGCAGACCAGCCCGAAAGGCTCTGACCAGCCTTAAATGGCTCTGGCGATCCCAGCTCTGACGATCCCAGCTGAGTTCCCTGCAACTCAGCTGGGATCGCCAGAAACCACGTAAAAGGGAAAAAGTTTTCCCCCTCCAGCTTGCTTACCTCAGCTGCTAGTCGCAACGCTTGCCTTGCTTTGCTTGCCTGAATCTATTCAGGCAAGCAAGCAACTCCCTGCCTGCAATCAAGCAAGGAGTTAGTTGTGGACTTCAACTCCCAGAATTCCTCAGCCAGCAAAGCAAACCTGGCTGAGGAATTCTGGGAGTTGAAGTCTACAAGTCTTAAAGTTGCCAATGTTGGAGACCCCTGTTCTATTGAGTAAGTTTTTTTCCCCTTTGGGAGCTTTAAAAAAAATAGTCAATTGGGGTTTTTTTAGTTGTTCTTTTTTAGACCTAGCCATTTAAAGTTTAGGAAGTTTTAAATTTAGCTTTCATATAAAAATAAAAATAAAATAAAATAAAACAATATTTGTGCAGCTTTCTGAGATTTAGTGTGTTTCTGTAGTGTTTCACTCCAACTACACAAACACACAAAATCTCACAAAGCTGTATGTGGAATTTTGTGTGTGTAAAGTGTGAAAGTTGGTTTTTTGGACTTTTTGTGGCTGTGTGAGGTTCTTGCTTGTTGCAGGGGCCATTTTGGGTCTAGCACAGCTGCTTTTACATTGTGGGTGAGCCAGTTGTGTTGTGTTGTGTGTGTTTAGAGTGTGAAAGTTTTTTGGGGGGGCTTTTTGTGGCTGTGTGAGGTTCCTGCTTGTTACAGGGGCCATTTTGGGTCTAGCACAGCTGCTTTTACATTGTAGGTGAGCCAGTTGATGTTTTTTAATTTTTATTTGGTGTGCATTGGAAGAGGGGCAGACTTATATGGCGAGTATAGCCCAAACCCTATATTTTAACAGGAAAAGTTGGGGGTCGTCTTATACGCCCAGTCATCTTATACGCCGGAAAATACGGTAATCAAATGTACAGCTGTAGGATCAGTGTGCCTAGTAGTTTTTGCCTGAATGGATTTTATAATTTTAATCCAGCATACAAATTGTATATGGATTAGTTGTGTGATTGTTCATATACATGAGTAATATTGATGCAGTCTCAAAATGTGTATTTTGGGGCTGCATTAATAACTCATAAGAAATGGTGGTTATTGTATTGAGTACGGTATTATAGATCTAATTGATCAATAGGGAAAATTATCAAGAGAGAGGTTCTACAGCAGGGCTGGATTATAGATTTTTTTGTTTGGATTCCTGCATTGAGCAGAGTTGGGAGAACATCTATGTTTCTGGGAACCCAGATATATACTGCCTATATTGAAAGTATAGGTAGAGTTTTCTAGATCAGCTGGGCATCTAGTTATCTACAACTTGGTGGTCTGCTACAAGTGAGCGAGCCAAAGGTCTAAAGGTTTTCCTTAAAAAGATTTTCCTAAACATTTTTAAAAAGTCAGTTGTGGGACAGTAGCTCATAAAAGTGATTATTTAAACATATTTCTTTATCCCACTAAAATTATTCTATGGGATGTTGCATATTCAGTTTAATTAACCAATTTACTTGTGTATTCAATATTTACTACAGAAGAAAATCTAATCAAGGATGACTCCAGAGTCGATGGTAATTCTGTATAAGATTTAAATTCACATAATAATATAGTTTGTTTAATTGTGACTTTTCTTATGTGAATCCAGCCACGGGTATTTATAATCTATCGTTTATGGACAAAATGGCAACCTTTCTGAGATTCTGAATTTAGGTAGGTCAATAGTCACAGTGGGAGGATCATATCATGTAAAGGGGCAGAACTGCAATTTACAATTTTTCCCCCTGTATACTTGTTTGCTTCTTCTTTTTTTAAATCTTAGACTTTTGTGTGTGTTGTGTGTTCTGCCTTAGAATATCAGAATCTTGTGACCTTTTCATTTTAATGTGAATGTGATCAGAGGAGCTCAGGACTGCTAAGAGGAGATTCAGGGCTGCATTTCAGTTTCAAGGTGCCCATCCAAGGTATAGACCTTAGTGTATTATGCAAAACATGGCAGTTGGAGTTTATTTAATAAATCATGGTTACTAGATCTAAGCCTCTATCTGTGGTGCAACTATAGCTCTGGATAGCAAGATGGATGGCATATAAATTCAATAAATAAATAATAGTTCAGCAAAAATAAATCTAGCCATGAAAACAGCAAAGCTCTGGTGGATAGAATGACTAATATTTTCAACTCTCATTTGCTTGGTTTTTCAACTGCTTTTCTAGTCAGGGTCAGTTTAGGCAACTGAGTTTAAAACAGTATACATGCTGGTTGGGTATTTCTAGAATACATATACAATATAACACAACCCTTACTTATCCCCAACCACTAAATATCTACTTAAATACAAACATCTTGCATCACTTCTGAAAGGTCTGCTCTTAAGTTTTATGGCAGGGAAGAGAACTTGTTTTCTGTCAAGGCCTATATGCCCACAGTGAGTAAAAGAAACCATCCCTCTTAGGTTTCCCTCCTTGCCCCAACTAGTGGGATACCAGGACATGTCATTATTGTCCAAAATCTGAGCTAACAAGGAGGTCTTTTAATACATTTTAATTTCAGGGCCATGGGAAAAGGAAGGTAGGATTATACTCGAATGACTTTATCAGAATTTGGCATTGGGGGTGCAATCAGTAGCTTGAGACAGAAGGCCCAAATTGGATTAGAGCTGTCGAGTGGGGTTATAGAGATTTTACCAGCACCTAGTCCTCTTATATGTATTGCAGTATAATAATCATAAGGTGAATAATAGCTCACATCTTCATGTCTTAAGAGCCATGGTGGTGCAGTGGTTAGAATGGAGTATTTCAAGCTAATTCAGCTCACTGCCAGGAGTTTGATCCTCACCATCGCAAGTCAGCCTTCCATCTTCCGAGATCGTAAAATGACCCAGATTGTTGGGGGCAATATGCTGATTCTTTAAACTGCTTAGAGAAGGCTGTAAAGCACTATGAAGTGGTATGTAAGTCTAAGTGCTATTGCTCACCACCCCCAAAAAATGAAAGGGCAGGTTAATAATGCAATTGTCCTTCCTAATTGATATTTAGCCTTTTTTTTTTAAAGGCTTCCATAAAATACTGTCCTGGTGTAACTACTAGTAACAGTGTAACTCTATTTTTCTTAAATGCACAGGGCAGTGTTTCCCAAACCTTGGTAAATTGCTCAAAATTGGATAAAGGTGTCATTTTTTCCCCTTTGGGTAAGAGCACACAAACCCATCACCCAATCACAACAGGAACATTTATATTGACTTGAAAGTTTTTACTGTTGGGCAAAAGGTTTTTCTGATAAGCAATGTCTAATAAGCATTTTTCATAGTGAAGGAAAATGTTTGGGAAGCACTGATATGGTTGGAAGTTTTATGGATCCTACCAATCTTTATTTCATCAGGAAAAATGGAAATACAGGGAGATGCAAGGCCTCTGCCCCCTAAATAAAATCATTTATGGTAGCAAGAAGATTGGTGCCTTAATGTGATTCCAAGTAACCAGTGTGAATTCTATAGAGAAAGGCTGTAGTACCAACTTTAGTTCTGTCTCCTTACCTTGCAGCCTTTGGAGATGAGTTGACTTTGCAAGCTAAGAAGCTCCAGTTCTTTTCTATTGACCTGGGAGCCTGGCCAATGTGGCCCATTGAGTAATAATATTGGTTTTCCCCAACAAGGCACTTTCCAATTTGTATCCCTCCTCCAATTTCTCCAGGTCTCAGATTCTAAGCTAGTATACACTTGATCATATATCCTTACTGGATCCAGATTTTACACATAGGGATCCTTTCCCACACTCCTTCCTTTAACATTTTGCATTTTATCTCCTTGTGTTTGTGGATTGGTTCCTTCAGCTGGTAGTGGGAGATTTGTCAGGAGAGTGGGATGGTGAGAGAGGGAAAATGGCAGGAGAGGGCGCTGCAGTGATGACAGGCATGAGAATGTATGATGGGAGACAGCCTGGGTAAAAACCGAAAGATGCCCATTGGGAAGGCTGAATGGAGTCTCTAAGAGCTAGGATAGTTCAAGACTTAATGGGCCCTCAGTAGACTAAGTGCAACTTTATTTTTTTAAAGGAACTCAGCAACCCAGGACAAGGGTTGTAGAGGACAAGGACCTGGCAATGGAGGCAAGGACCTGTAGAGGACAAGGACCAGGCAATGGAGGCAAATCCAGTGCTATGACCAATTGGTGCTGTGGCTACTATCATATTGAAACTAAGCATTAGAAACCACCTGCTCTGAAAGGCTTAAGGTTTTCTGGTTGGGAAGCAACCATTTTAAATCTAAGCAGGAAAATGTTGGTGTGGAGCATATATTCACTCACCTGGCCGAAGGAGAATGGAGACGTCATCTGCTCCTGTACTTAGAAAGCACAGGATTTCCGATGATGGCAATGGGCCAAGCAGATCTGCCCCACAGAAAACTGTTCTCCATAAAGCAGACACCATACCCACCCTTAGACAGTCTGATCTTAGATTCTGATCTTAAATCACATGGAATAATGAGGTAATAGATCGGCTTTTTTTCATCTTTTTTAAACACAGTGGATTTGCTTTGATCCCATGTCATAGGTTAGCTATGAGAGTGACTTGTCAGCTTGTCTAATCGGGAAATGGTAATTGAAAAAATTCCATGGCTGGATTGCTGAAAACATTTAAGCCCCCCTCCTTTTTGTATTTTGGTTACCCATGGTCTAGCAGCAAGGAAAAAGGTGCAAGTTTTAAAGGGGGTTGCTGACTTTGAATATTCAGCCAAGCCTCAATTTCCCAGGTGCCTTTGCATCATCTTCTTTGTTGAATGGGAAACTCCAAAAAGTGTTAATAATGAGAAACCAAGCCCACTTTTTAAGAAAGCAAAAGGAAATGCCAATTAGATCATTTTGATCAACTGCTGTCCAACCCATTGGGCCATCTTTTGAGAGAAAGATGTGTCCAGAATGAACACAATGAACAGTATTGCTGTCACTTTGCTTTGAAAATTAAAGAAGAAAATATCAGTTTATTAAATATGTGTAGCAAGAGAAATATAGCTCCCTGCAGTCACATGATTTCCAAGACTGATTACCTGCTGGTTCCCCATTGACTTTGCTTCCGGGGATCTGACAGGAATCATTGGAAGTCGTGACTATAGGGACACTACAACAGCCACAACTTTGCAAATAAACTGGTCTGAACATTTTAGAAATTTCAACTCAACTGGAGTAGTAGGTCCCAGATTGTTCATATTTTTAAGCTATCAGATTTTAAGAACCTTGATTCAAAAAATTGTTGCAGTATAATGCATCATTTGGGCTAAACTGAGGGTACAAACAAAACAAATACGGAGAATTTTAGTAATATATAGGTCTCACTTGGAAATCTCCAGGTTAATAGTTGCTTTTCTTCAGGAGATAACTAATCATGTAGTAGACACAAAAAGTGGTGCTACTTGTTAAATACATGGAATGAAACAATCTCTAAAATGCTAATGTTACAATTACCTTAAATTGCAAAGATGACACTGCAACAACAGTTTATAACAGAATAAGATATTATATGGTATTGTCTCATTCCTGAAACCCAGTCAAGAGTTGATATTAGTTGCATATGAGCAGTTCTAATCATGGTATTGAATTGCCCCCCCCCCCGATCATTTTTGGAAATTGTCCCACACTGAGTTTCCTCCATGCCATAAGTATGGCTATTCCCAATAATACATCCTATGTCAGAAAGCTACTCTGGATCCTGCAGTAAGAATAATAAAATTCATCTGATTATGTGCTGACTGCAAGTGATTAATATCTACAGTAACAGGTTCCAATATATCTAGCTTTAAAGGATTTTGGATGGGAGGTTATCGTTCAACTGGCACTTTATTGTGTTTTCCTGCCATCCCAGAGCTGTAAAAATTTACATCATCTTAAATCACACTGCCTAGACAGCATCTTAATGAGCATCTGGAATGGGGCTTTGTTGGATGGCTCCTCCACATGACACTGTAGTTACAATTCTTGACAGTTTTTCTTGGCCAAAATTCAAATGCTACCAACTTCAGGACTAGCTGCCATGAAATATTATACGAAATGCCTGTTGTGTCTTGGTAGTCAGTCACTTTGTTCTTTTTTTTTTAAAGTCTAAGGCAGGGGTGTCAAACTGGTGGCCCGCTGGCCAAATGCGTCACACACAGGTCACGCCCACCCCAGCTCCACAAATGGGAAAAATGTCACAAAACGTCACATGATGGCAACATGACACAGCAAGTTTGACACCCGTGGTCTAAAGCTATTCTTGATCATAAAGTGATTAGCTTACTTAACACCAATCACCTGGTTTCCATTGCGCTGCTAAGTCACTTCATTATAGATGGGATTTCGTCATCTTCCTGTCAGGGACTGAGCGTGTTTTTTTTCCATCAAATCCTTTAACCACGCCCCCTCTGCTCTCTGTCTCCTCAGTTATTTCGCTCAGTCGACTTGTAGGGATCTGTTAATTCCTCTGCTCTAGCTTAAACTTAGTTTAGGGACTTTAGGTTTTATTATTTTTGTTTCCCTTCGGGGCGTTTTATTAGTGGAGCGAAAAGCTTGCTTTGGGACAGCTTGCGGCTGCGGCTGTCCCTCGTTTTTGGAGGTGGGGGGATTGGATCTGGGGCTCCAGACCATCCCCCTCTTTTGTTTAAAGCAAGCGATTGGAGTCTGACCCGGCTGGGCAGCTCCAAAACGGCCCGCGCCGTTTTCTTTTAGCCGCTGGCGAGATCGTCGGTTCCAGGTGAGCCTGGTAAACCGCGGCCGCCATTTTGTAGCTCCAAATTAGCTCAGGGCGGCTCCGGAGTTCCTGGTAGCTTGGCTATTCAAACTCTGAGTATTTCTTGCCTCACTGTCAACGCGAGGAAGCGGATTTACAGCATCTTCCCCTTTTCGCTGGATCTGATCATCAGGGTGCTGTTACGAGGCGTGAGGAGCTGGTAACGTTTTTCGCGCTCTTTTTCCCTTTGAATTTGACTGACAGTTGAGGGTTGGCGGTGTGAAGGGATTACTAATCTTGACCGCCCTGACTGATTGCTATCTGGAAGGAGGACGAGGAGAGAAGATTGTGGAAATTTTCCTGCTTCTGTCTGAGGTATTCTTCTGTGGGTCGTTGGACTTGGGCAGCCATTTTGTGACTTTGTGTTTTGGCGCCAAAACCGTTTCTACTTCTTTGGAGCCTGCTGTCATTGGAACTTGATTTAATATGGCAGACCAGGAATTCTCCTCTGACAATGAGCAACCACAATCCCCTCCCAGGGCAAAAAAGACAAAAAAATCTAAATCTAAAGCCCCTGCTGTGTCAACCGAGCAGGATCCTGAGGCTTCCTCATCCAGGCACCCCCCTTCAACTCTAATGGACAGAGACGCCATTAGGAGACATAATGCATTGGAGAGGCAATACGAGAAGGCGCAAAAGAAAGCTCAAGCTTCTTTGGCTCCACCTTCTCCTCATTCTGAAGTGGAGGATGACTTACCTCCTATAAATCCAATTCGACCTCCTCCAACCTCGCAGGGCTCTCAGCAAGAGGGTCTGACTGCAGCCCAGAATATGGGCTTGGGGGTGCAGGCCATTGATATGAACCAACCTGTTAGTTTTCAGTCTATTTTTACCAATGCTTTGGCCCAGGCGTTTGCTTCAAGTCTTAGTCAACAGCTGCCTGTAACCCCTGCAACTTGCCATCTTCATGCTAACCAGTTGCCCTCTTCTTCTGCTAGCTGCCACCTTCATGCCAACCAGGCAATACCGGGACATAGTCAGGCTAGTCAGGCTATCTCGCAGGATCCTCTTGATAGTGAGGAGGCAGAGCGTTTTGAAGGGGAGGTTGAGGAACCAGAGTTTTCAGAGGATGAAGGTGTTGAACCTGATAAGCCTGCATTCACCACCTTATTCAGGCCTGCTGTGTTTAAAACGTTGCTGCGTAAAGCTAAATTGGCAACCAATATGGCCTCCATCTCCAGTTCTCATGCCCAAGACACTGGCAGTCAGAAATCTCATAATGACTTATTCCCTGTTCCTTCCCAGGATCAGGACTTTATTCCCTGTCCAGAGTTATTTTCTGGGGTTATTAAGAAACAATGGGAACACCCGGGGGCCCTTTCTGCCCCCTCTGGGCTCGATAAGAAAATTTATTGTGTGGACCCCTCTCTGGAGAGCCTTTTGGCACTTCCGTCTGTGGACCCTCCGGTGGTAAATTTAACATCGTCTACTATTTTTTCCTCAGATGTCATGGAGGTGCTCCGCTCAGAGGATAGGAAAGCAGAGGCCGCTTTCAGAAAGAGCCACCAGGCGGCTGCCTGGGCTGTAAGGACCGCCACTTCGGCCTCCTTTTTTAATCGGGCGAATCTTGTTTGGCTCAAACAGCTTAGGGACCGCCTTCCCCCGGAAGACCTGCGTCTTCAACAACACATAAATAAGATGGTGGCTGCAGCCGAATATTCGGCTGACGCCACTCTGGACGCAGCTAAGTTTGCGGCTAGATCAATGGCGTCTTCAGTGACGTCTCGTAGACTACTCTGGCTTCGCCCCTGGCGTGCTGATTTAAAAGCTAAGTGGAAATTGGCGTCCACTCCTTATCAAGGTACTAATTTGTTTGGCCCTGCATTAGACCCCATTTTAGTTGAGGGAAAAGATAAGAAGAAGGTCCTACCGGTGTCCTACCGTAGGACTGAGTGTCGATTTACGCCTTATTCCCAGAGGCAGCCCTTTCGTCAGGACCCAGGACCCAGTGGGTCCTATGCTTCCAGACCTTACACACAAGGGTATGACAGACCAGCTGACAGACCGTACTTTAGGGACAGAGGCAGGTTCCAGTTTGCCTCCAGAAGACCCTTCAGGGGTTCTGGATCCAGACCTGGAAGGAGAGGCAAATGACTCGCTTCCCCCACCTTCCATTGGCGGACGACTCTGCCACTTTGTCAGTCAGTGGGAGGAATCCACGTCCGAGGATTGGGTCCTTCGGACTGTGAGACTAGGTCTTACCTTGGAATTCAGAACCAGGCCCCCCAACCGTTTCCTTCCCTGCCCTATTCCTCGTCAGCCAGGGAAACATCAGCAGTTGAGGAAGGAGATCCAACATTTAATAGATATAGGGGCTATAGAGCCTGTTCCTGCAGGGCAAGAAAGGTCGGGGGTGTATTCTGTTCTGTTCCTAGTTCCCAAGGCCTCCGGGGGCTGGAGAGCCATCCTAAATCTCAAATTTGTCAACAAATTCCTTCTATTCCGAAAGTTCAAAATGCAGTCCCTCAGGACTATTCTGGATTGTGTGCGGAAGAACGATGTGATGACATCGCTGGACCTCCAGGAAGCTTACCTGCACGTGCCAATCCACCCGGCCCATCGCCGATTCCTGAGGTTTGCTTATGCAGGAGTACACTACCAATATCGGACCATGCCGTTCGGCCTTTCCTCCGCACCTCGAACTTTTACAAAGTTGTTGGCGGTGGTGGCTGCGACTATCCGGCTGGTTCCGATCAGAATTCTCTGTTATCTCGACGATATTTTGCTGCTTTCTCAGTCTCCTCAACAGGCTCTGCAGGATCTGGAGACGGTGACCAACATCATCACACGACACGGCTTCTCCATAAACCATCGAAAGAGCCATCTTCAGCCTACAACCAGAATTGCGCACCTGGGGGCGCTGATAGATTCGGAGGAGGGACTGGTTTACCTGTCGCCGGAACGCCAAACCGACATCAGGACCTTAGTTCGACATGTCCTAGATCGTCCACAGGTAACATTTCTAACCTTATCAAAGTTGCTCGGGAAATTTATTTCCTGTATCTCAATAGTGCCGTGGGCGCGAAGGCACGGACGCCAACTCCAGTGGTTCCTCCTGCCAGCGCAGAAGTCGGGCCAGGGCACATCTGCATCCAAGGTGAGGCTTCCTCCCAGAGTACGAGCGTCCCTCAGGTGGTGGGACTCAGAGGCGATCAGCAAGGGTTGTTTCTTCCAGGAACCCAACAGGATTGCGGTGACATCAGACGCGAGCCTGTTGGGCTGGGGCGCCCACCTGGGGTCAGAGGTTGTCCAGGGTCTGTGGTCTCCCTTAGAAGCCAAGAACAGCATAAATTGGCTAGAGCTTCGAGCTGTCCGCCTTGCCTTGAGACACTTCCAGGACATGCTTCTTCACCAGCATGTCCTGGTTCTGACGGACAATACGACCACCAAGGCCCATATCAATCGCGAGGGGGGCACCCGATCCCCCTTGCTAATGACAGAGACAGATATGTTGATGACCTGGGCCGAGACTCATGTTCTTTCCCTGAGGGCGGAACACATTTCAGGGTCCGCCAACGTCCGGGCCGACTGGCTCAGCCGGAAGCAATTAGACCCCTCCGAGTGGAAACTCCACCCGGACCTGTTCCAGTGCATCGTAGACAAGTTCGGCCTTCCGATCCTAGACCTCTTTGCCAGCCCGGAGAATACTCAGCTTCCTCTGTTCATCTCAAGATTTCCATGTCAAGGGGCTCTAGGTCACGACGCCCTCCATTGTCAGTGGCCCCGGGGTCTACTATATGCCTTTCCGCCTCTAGCCCTCATCCCGAGGGTAATAAGGAAGCTGATAGCTGTAGGGGCGGAGGTCCTCCTGTTAGCCCCGCATTGGCCAAGACGACCTTGGTTCGCCGACCTGGTGGCCCTGTCGGTGTCGCCCCCCTGGACAATACCTCAGGACCGGATCTCTCTCAGCCAGGGGGCAGTTCAACATCCAGACCCCGGTTGGCTGCGCTTAACCGTGTGGCATTTGAGAGGGTCCTCCTGAGAAGGCGTAACGTTCCGGGTAGGGTGATTGGCACCATTCAGGCTGCTAGGCGGCCCTCTACCACAAGGATTTATGAGTCGTCCTGGCGGACCTTCTGCAGTTGGTGCCGTCTGCATCATGTGGACCCTACGTCGGCCAGTGTTCCTGACATCCTGGTGTTTTTGCAAGATGGGTTTGACAAGGGGTTGGCTCCTTCTACCTTAAAAAGACAGGTGGCTGCTTTATCTACGGTTTTATCCAAGGAAGCCACTATCCCGCTAACTCTTGACCCGAGCATTAAAGGGTTTTTGAAGGGAGCTTCAAATATTCGACCTACTATGATTCATAGGTATCCAACTTGGGACTTGACATTAGTTCTACAAGCCCTTACCTCTCCACCGTTCGAACCTTTAGGTTCAGCCAGTCTCAAGCTTTTATCGTTTAAAGTCACTTTTCTTTTGGCCATTACCTCAGCCAGGAGAGTGTCTGAGTTGGCAGCATTATCTATTCGCCAGGACTTATGCATTTTTAAGCCTAACACGGTGGTTCTGAGATTAGACCCGGCCTTTCTGCCTAAAATTAATTCCAGCTTTCACAGATCTCAGGAAATAATCTTGCCAGATTTTTGTCCCTCTCCCAGGCATAGGTTGGAAGATCAGTGGCACACACTTGACGTGCGTCGAGCGCTCAGAAGATACATCGCGCGCACATCGCTATTTCGTAAGTCGGAGGCACTCCTAGTGTCCTTCCACCCCTCGTCTTTGGGACAGAAGATTTCTTCTAGAACGGTGGCTTGTTGGATTAAGGCGTGTATTGCCCTCGCCTATTCCTCTAAGGATAGGCCGGTTCCAGGTAATGTGTGGGCTCACTCTACGAGGAGCGCTGCAACTTCTGCTGCGTGGTCTACCCAGGCTTCAGTGGTGGACATTTGCAGGGCGGCCACTTGGACTTCCTTGACTCCATTTGTTCGTCACTACAAAATAGACACCTTTGCGTCCGCTGAGGCATCCTTTGGACGCAGGGTGCTACAACGAGTGGTTTCAGCGTCCAGCGAGGGGACCAGTCAGCTTCCCACCCCTTAACTCCTGACGCTTGGGCATATCCCATCTATAATGAAGTGACTTAGCAGCGCAATGGAAAACGGACGTTGCTTACCTGAACGTCCATTTTCTTTGCGCTGCGTGTCACTTCATCTCTCCCGATTTGCTGCCTGGTCCTGGGCAGCGGGATTGTTTCTGTTTTCTCATCAGCTCCTGGGCTTGACACGCGACTTCGCGAAACAACTGAGGAGACAGAGAGCAGAGGGGGCGTGGTTAAAGGATTTGATGAAAAAAAACCACGCTCAGTCCCTGACAGGAAGATGACGAAATCCCATCTATAATGAGTGACACGCAGCGCAAAGAAAATGGACGTTCAGGTAAGCAACGTCCGATTTGTACAGTCCAGTTGGAATTGCTTCATAAGTATTGGAGCCAGACTTCAAGAAAGGAGTAAATCTATAATTTTAGCTGACAGTCTTTTATTTATATAAATAACCACACCATTCTTTTTTTCCAAATTTGAAGCTATAAAATGTGTTCCTAATCTTGAATTTATCAGATATTTTTGGTCTTGTATTCTAACATGAGTTTCTTGTAAACAAATTATATCATTGTTAAATTGTCTCAAGTATGTAAATAATTTCTTCCTTTTCTGTGGTGAGTTTAATCCATTCACATTCCAAGATAAAAACTTAATCGTCATGTACACTTTTTTGAAGCGACAAGCACATTTGCCGAAGATTTTCCGAGTCAGTAGTCTTCGGCCTTGCTCCCCCCATGGCTTCAGATTCTTGTATATCACCCTTGACTCCTTTCTTGTATTGATGTGGCTTGGGCTTTTCCTGTTGTTGTTTTTCTTTGAGTTGTTTAGAAATTGCTCGGGTTATACGCTGATCTTTAGCTTCACACATCCTGGCTAGGTCCAAAGCCACTTCTCTTGTAGTCTTAGGTGGTTCAGTCACAATTTTTGAAGGAAGATCTAGCAGGGGCTCATCCAGAAAACCTCCTGTAGCTCCCTGCATTTCCATTGCCTCTAATTCCAGCTGCTTAGGCTGCTCTCGCTGAGGTTGCTTCTCCTTATCACTCTCCTTTATCTCCAACACAGAAGATGTACGTGGGAATGGTGAGCTCTCTTTAAAAACATTAGAATAAAATTCTTCCGCCTTCTCAACAGTATTTAATCGGTATCTTTCTCCCTTATACCTCAAGATTATACCAATTGGAGCATCCCACCTGAATGGAATTTGTTGTTTTTTTAATTCATTCACTAGAAATACAAAATCCTTTCTATCTTTTAACATCTTAGGTGGTAGCTCTTTATAAATTCCAATCTCCTTCCCCTCCACTTGCACCGTAGAGAGAAAAGATTTTTGCAAAATATCATTTCTCATTTTTCTATCTGTAAAATATATCACCACATCTCTGGGCAATTGTCTTTGTGTGGCCACCCACGAATTCACTCTGTACACTTTATTCATTTTGCAAAAAATCTCTTCAGGGCTAATCTTTAACAACACAGCTAGGGCATCAGCACAAGTCTGTCTCAGGTCTTGTCTATCATTCTCTTTTAAGCCTCTCAGCCTTATGGCAAATTCCATTGACCTGAACTGCATCATTGTAATCTCATTTTCAAGTCTCTGCATTTTATTGTCAGCATCAAAGATTTTATAATCAGTCTCCTTCATTTTAACATCCATTTCTGATCTAAATTCTTCCACCTTAGCATCAGTTTTAATAATTGCTTCTGACAATCAAGTCACCACTGTCATTAATTTTTGGGTCACCTTGTCATATTTTTCTTGCACCACCTCTTTGATTTCTTTAATCTCCTGCTTAATTTCCTGTTGTGACTTTTTAAATTTCTCATCCAAATTTTCATCTTGCCTCATCAAAGCCTGAGCAATAAAATCCTTTAAACTTTCAAGATCAATCTCTTTTTTCTGACTTTGCTGGCTGGGAGGCTGCTGTTCAAGTTTGTGTGTGGGGGATCCCGCCCCCCCACCTTCACATCCTGTTTAGTTTGCTTAGAAGCCATCCTGCCACGTAGCCTAGCTTTTCCAAATTATAGAAGCAGATGAATGTGGTAGGTTTATAGCAATTAAATTGCATACAGCAAGTGGCCCAATTCTAGTGATTGGAATTTATGCTCCTAACCAACAACAGGATAATTTTTACAAAACTTTGCATTCTAAAATACTGCAATGGGACTATAGATCTATTTTAATTATGGGAGATTGGAATGGAGTAATTGACTCTAAAATTTAAAAAAAGAGTTCGGCGAAGTCAAGGATTAGACTACCACAGACTTTTTTTTATATGAAAGAAGATTTGGAATTAAAAGATATTTGGAGAATATATAACCCAAAAGAACTGGATTTTACTTTTTTTTCAGATAGACACAGATCCTTTTCTAGGATTGATTTTATTTTACTATCAGCTGACCTACTTGTAAAAACTAAAAGAACAAAGATTTTCCCAAGGACTTTAACTGTCCATGGTCCGGTATGGATAGAAATTGAGATGGGAAAGAGTGAGAGAAGATCTTGGAGATTAAATGAAAATCTGTTTAGATATGAAAAGAATAAAACAGAACTTAAAAAGCAGATGAAAGAATTTTTTGAAATGAACTTGAATAAGGGTACCCCTATTGAAATCGTGTGGGATGCAAGTAAAGCATATATGAGAGGGGTACTCATTCATATGAACTCTAAACACAAATTGAACCGACAAAAGAAAAGATCTGAAATGGAAGCAGAAATAAAGAATAAAGAACAGTTACTTATAAAAAACCCAACAGATGAAAGAATACGAGGAGCTATAAAACTTTTGAAAGATCAATTTCAAATGCTTATTGCAGAACAAACAGCAACAAATTTACAATTTGCGAAACATAACACATTTTGCAATGCTAATAAACCGGGCAGATGGTTGGCTTATACACTAAGGAAGAAGCAGAGTACACGGATCATTGATAGCATTGATACTGGAGGGAAGGAAATTTCTCAATAAAAATTAATTAAAGAAGTTTTTGTAGATTATTACACTAAATTATATGCCAAAGATGATACACAGAATGGACTTATAGAGAAATATCTAGAAAATAAAAGAGTCACAAAAATTACTAGTCAACAAAAGGAGAGAATGAATCATCTTATAACAGCTGAGGAAATTATCGCCACAATTAAACAATTGAAAACAGCTAAAGCTCCTGAGACGGATGGTTTAACTGCGGTGTACTATAAAACCTTACAAGCAGAAATGATTGAACATCTTAAAGATTTATTTTGTAGTATACAACAAGGGGGTAAAATACCCCCATCATGGAAAACAGCTTATATTTCATTGATACCGAAAGAACAAGTAGGTCCTAAAAAACTTGAGAATTTTAGACCAATATCTCTTCTGAATAATGACTATAAAATATTTGCAAAAGTATTAGCCAACAGGTTGATGCCAGTTATTCAAGACGTGATTCATTGTGATCAAGCGGGATTTATAGAAGGCAGATACATGAAGGATAATGTAAGGCAAGTTATAGATTTACTGGAATATCTCGAGAAGAATAAACAGATCCCTGCAGTGCTGGTCTTTTTGGATGCGGAGAAGGCCTTTGATAGAGTGGATTGGAACTTTCTATTAAAGACTTTAAAAAAGATGGACTTTGGGGATCAATGTATACAGGCGGTTTCAGCAATTTATCAAGAACAAAAGGCACAGATTTTTATTAATGGAAGTTTGACAACAGACTTTAATATTGAAAAAGGAACAAGACAAGGTTGTCCGTTATCCCCATTGTTATTTATTTTAACATTAGAAGTCTTGTTGAATTCAATACAGGACTCGAGCACTTTGAAAGGAATAGTGATAAGGCAAGAGGATTACAGAATAAGGGCATTTGCAGATGATCTGGTTGTTACCCTAACACAGCCGATGGAATCAATAATCCAGATGAAAGACATTATAGAACAATATGGTTCAGTATCAGGATTTAGATTGAACCAGAAAAAAACTAAGATGATAGTTAAAAATATGACACAAGATCGAAAGTTCAAGTTGCAGAATCAAATATGAAATTGTTTCAAAATAATTATGAGGTGTTGTGGCGAGACGTACAGAAAGATATGGAGACCTGGAAAAAACTGCAGCTGTCTCTACTTGGAAGAATAGCAGCAGTTAAGATGAATATTTTGCCAAGATTTCTTTTTTTGTTTCAAATGATTCCGGTGCTTAAAAGTGATAAACAACTGAGAGAATGGCAAAGAGGACTGAATAAGTTTGTCTGGAATGAGAAAAAGCCGAGTTAAACTGAAAATTATGCAAGATGTTCCAGAAAGGGGAGGCCTTAAACTTCCAAACCTACAATTATATTATGAAGCAGCAGCTTTGACGCAAGCAAGTGATTGGTTTGGAAGGAAAAAGACTGGAATATTGAACATAGAAAGTTTTGATCTTGAATTTGGTTGGCATGCTTACTTATTTTATGAGAACAAAGTGGATAAAGTATTCAAAAGCCACATACTTAGAGACTCTTTGATGAGAGTTTGGAAGAAGCACCGACTCAAATGGGATTACAAAATACCGTTATGGCTGGATCTTGGTCATATCATGTGGAATACAAATATAATGTCACTCGGGGGGGGTTTATCTAAAGAAGTTCTTTTTGCAGATGCGGGCAGATGGCAACTGAAGACTTTGGAAACGCTGTTGGAAGAAGGGATTAACTTAACTTGGTTACAGTATAATCAACTTCAATTGAGATGGAAAGAGGACCAAAAAACTGGTATAATGATGCATGAGGAAGAACTGGTTAGACATATAAAAGAGAAAGGTCCAATGCATATTAAAAGGGTTTATAATGTTTTGTTAGAAAGGGATTCAGAAACTGATTTTTTTTTTAATTTGATTTATATGCTGCCCTTCTCCGAAGACTCAGGGCGGCTTACAATGTGCTCAGCAATAGCCTTCATCCTTTTGTATATTTATACAAAGTCAGTTTATTGCCCCCACAAACTGGTCCTCAATTTACCTACCTTAGAAAGGATGGAAGGCTGAGTCAACCTTGAGCCTTGGCGAGATTCGAACCCTGCAGTAATTGCAGGCAGCTGGTCTTAATAACCAGCTTAATAACAGGGTGCCTTAAACCCCTGTACTACCAAGGCTCTTAAAGATTGCATGATGAAGTGGGCACAAAATTTTGCAGAACCAGTGATGTTGGAAACATGGGAAAAAATATGGGTTCAGAATGTTAAATTTACACAGTCGCAGAATT